AAAAAAACAGTAATACAAAATCTGTCTGCAGGCGGAGCATTAATCATTAATCATTAAGGAATGATAAAGGAATGATAAAGGAATGATAAAAGAAATGTACATGTTTTCTTTCCAGTCACTGTGACCTTTGACCACTGAAATCTAACATATTCATCTTTGAATCAAAGTGGATCAAATAAATTAACTCTTGAGTCCAACTAAATGTGAAATGATTCCCTCAAGGTGTTCCGGAGATACTGTGTCATGTTCACAAAATAATTTGCTTGTGAGGCTACAGTGACATTGACCGTTGACCACCAAAATCTAATCAGGTCACATTTAAGTCCAAGTGAACGATTTGTGCCAAATTTGTAGAAATTCCCTCAAGACGTTCTTGACATATTGCGTTGACAAGAATGGGAAAAAAATACCTAAAACATATTGACATTGGCTGTCAGGACAGGAAAATAGAAATCTGAAGCTGTGAGATGGTCATTATTTATGAATCATCAAATGGCATTAAAATTACATTAATTATGCCTTCTATGTAGTCTTATGTTTTGCTTTATATGTGGGTTTTAAGATGGGAGATGTTTGTACATAAMTTTGCAGAGATAATAGTGTAACTTAAAAGATTACATGAGCTAGTCCATTCATGTGATAGATAACAAACTCTACAGAAACTCAGTCAATTCCCTTGAGTTTCAGTTCGTCTTCAACTCGGCTGAGGTAATCAGGATCTGGGTATCCATAGCTGCAAAGACAATGACAGAAATTAAATGACTTTATATGGACAGTTTCCTATCAATGAAAATCTGTACGCATGATTGGTGGTCATTAGCCCTGTAGCATGCTGCCAGCAAAAACACAAGACTTGTGTACAGATGATTACATTGAGGTCACATGAATAAGTTTCTCTTTTCACAAATACACAGATTATATACATTTTATTATATACATATTTTATGTGATTTGCAGCTGTGGCTGCAGGGGGGTAGAGAGGTGGACCTCTAACCAGTAGGTTGGTGGTTCTATCTGCATGCCATAGTGTCCTTGGGCAAGATACTGAACCCAGAATTACACACTCATAGAAAAAGTGCTGCCCATAGTGACAGTCTTGTGAAAACGCCTCCTACTTTTCACCATCGCTGTTGCTCGTTCGTAGTATTATAAGCAACCAAGTGCGGAGTAGACAATCTACTTCCTGTTCACACTGGCCTGGTGTACGTAACTGGTCACATGATAAACATTTTCAAGGGCACATTACATTTCAAAACTGTTGTTAAATGTTTAAGTTAAAAGTACTTGTTTGACCGATTATTCTCATTTATCATTTTATTCATCTACATTATGTCATTAGACCATTTATACTGAAGTAGCTGAGTAAGCAGCAAGTGAAGCTACAGTAAAATACATTATAAATTGTTTTATAAACAGAAATGTTAGATATATTGTGGGAGCTTGTTTCTCTTTGATTTGTGGTGAGTTACTGGATCATTAAAGCTTCTGAGAACTTCAGATGGAAAAAAAAAGCTTTAAACGACGAGAATTATTTTTCAGAAGCAAAAAATGTTCAAAACCACTCGTAAAGTCTTTAACAACATGTTTGACAGCTTGTTATATTATGTATTGTTTGAAATCTTCATTTTAAAGTAAGCCGTCAAATAAATGCAATGCAGTATAACATACAATATTTCTCTCTGAAATGAACAAGAGTAGAATTTTGAAGTAGTGTTAAGTGCTTTTATGTTGTGAAATAAAAAAGAAATATTGAGATTTACAGTATTTGTGACAATGTGTAGTGTAAACTGTCCAGCCTGCAGAAGAGGAGTTATGTACATCTTGGGGAGCATATTCTTCTCTTAAGTGGAGAACAAAATATGTTTGTTTAGTGTATAAGTATGTTTATTACTACACTAACAAACAACTAAGGCCAAAATATTGAAATCTACATTTTCTCTGTCTATTGCTACAATTTGAAGTGAAGAGGTGAGATCTTGAATCTGTCAAAGAGCAGCGTGTCTCACACTGCTGAGCTGCGCTGATCACTCAGGCAGTGGACACTCCAAAATATGTTAACATGGGTGCCAAAATTATTCATTTTTCTTTTAAGTTCATAATGATCACAATATTGACTGAAACAATCATGATCATGTTTTTTGCCATAATCGAGCAATCCAAATCTGTGTCACAGGTATGTGATCTACATCCATAAAAAGTGTCCTCACCAAGTTGGCCCCCCGTGTGTTGAGGTTTTGTGGTGAATATCATTCCATGTGACTGTATTATTCCTGCCAGTGGTAGTGGAGCGACCCACGGTGAAGATGAGTCTCTGATCAAAGGCACGTATCAACAGCTTCAGGATCCTCCTGCCCTCTGAGGAGTCTGGGAGATAGGCCACGCGGGATACACCTTCATATGTCTGACCAGGATTAGGATGCTCCTCCTGCAGACAGACAGTAGATGTTTCTCCACCTAATTATGTTTGTCCAAGCTGTCCGTTATTATGTGGCTAAGAGTGACTCTGAGTCCACATTTTTATGGTTAATCGTTTATTTATTAGAAATATTAATTGAAAATAAGAAATTTCCAGCAACATACTGATGCTGATAAATCACTATAATAAGCATAGATAATGTCTGAGTACAAAAAGGAAAGAAAGAGGAGAATTAAATAAGAGTGTAAAAGACAAAACACAGATATTCCATTTTTTCAAAAAATAATAATATCAGGCAGATAGCTAATGAGCCTTATAAATTGAGTCGGTAGATGTCCACCAACAGATGATTGATTTCTTTTCCAGTGGGATGATTTAAGAGAACTCATAATTCATGAGAAGAACAAGGTGAGAATAAAGAATGTTTATGTAGAATACTGCTGGTTAATGCTACACCACCGACAACTGGGAATGATCTGGACATCAGTAAATGTGGTCTAAGCTAGAATCGCACTCAATAGAGTGCATTCCACCGCGAAGGCCAAACAATCCTCCACTGATTTGTCTAGTTCTTATAGTAGATAAATAAAAGAAAAAAAAGCATTTGGTCTGATAAATAAATGATTTATTTATAATAAAAAAACAAAACAAAACATAAAACTGCCTGTTAAACATGTTTGATGGAAATGTTGAATATCTCTGCAAATATGTTTCAGTGCTGCACTCACATAGTTCACATATTCTTGCAATCTTTCATTACCATACCACTACCATAACATATGTTCCTACTGTGCTCTCTTTCTTCTGCAGGTGGAATTTATAATTAGCTGCATGATTCGGTCTTTATTTCTCGTTGTTCCTACGGTCTGTAAGAGTAAGAACTGTAGGTAGAGCCTTAAGCTCCCACTCTGAGTTCGGGAGGCGGACACCATCTCTTCATTTAAGGTTAGACTTGAAATGTTCCTCTCTCTCTCTCTCTCTCTCTATTTGCAGGTAACTCTGACTCAACTGCAGAATTCAGACAACAATTTTTCTGTGCTCACCCCAACCGGTTGCGGCAGATGGCCACCCACATTGAGTCTGGTTCTACTAGAGGTTTCTTCCAGTTAATGAGTTTTTTCTGTCCACAGTCACCAAAGTGCTGCTCATTGTGGGAACCGTTGGTTTCTCTATAATTTATAAGGTCTTGACCTTCTAGGAAAGTGCCATGAGATTATGTATATTATGATTTGGCGCTAAACAAATAACATTTAGTTGAATTGAATTGAATCTCTTACAAAATTTAAGACTAGTGTTAATTCCATGCTTCATTGATTGGCGGTGTTCTTATTTCACTTTGTCCTCATTAGTGTCTGAATTTGTATAGTCCTGTCTACAGCTTTAAATGTTGCCTTTGTGGTCAGGTCTTCTTAGTAAAAGGGATTTGAAACCCCTCCATGCCAAATAAACCTAGCTATGTCAGATTGTTTACATCATACATTTTTTTCCTGAGAAACTGATGTTGGATTTGGACGTACAACTCACTGGTAATAAGTGGAAACTGAATGTACTGTTTCTAAGATCAAAAGTGAAATTTCTACCATTAAGTGTGGTATCCTGAATCTTACCTTTTGGATGCCACTTGGAATGAAATAGTGGATAAGAATTGTTCCATATTTCTCATATCCAGGTAAAGATGAACCGTTTGTGGTGACTTTCATTTTGCCTCCATCAGGTTGTGTCCCTGTCAAAGTACCATGTACCTTTCCACATGTGGGGCATACAGGCTTGTACTTAAAAGCTGTTTCCAAACAGTCTCTGCAGAAGGAGTGCTTGCACTGCAGGGTGTGCTTCTCTGTAATCGCTATTGGTTCCATACAGATTGGACATAATTCATCTTCAGGATCTTTGTCTTGTGTAGGCTGAGGACCCGAGGTTCTGCTGCTTAGAGTGTCCTTTGAACCTTTGTTCCCTGGTTGAACTAAGCTTGAGCTTAGTGTATTTTGTAAAAGGAACTTTTTTAATTGAGCAATGTGCACAAAGGGCGCAGTCGCTGTTACTTCATATTTGTGACTGGGTTTAAAAAGGATACGGGGAAACCTCAGCTGCAGGTCTTTGTGTTCGTGTGGACTCACAGAGACAGAAGTGACCTGCAAGTCAGAGGCAGTTCTCTGGTAGAATGTGATGAATCTTTGTCTGACATAATCAGCTTGAACAGGGGGTTTGGGGACACCCTGTGGTCTTATAATCACCTGCACTGTACTACTGGGGTTATTGTGCACTGTTCTGAGTTCAGGCTGGGTTTCAAAGACAAAACTGTTCCCTTGAATTTTGGCGAGTTCTTTTGAACATTTTTGCTGAATGTAGGTCATGACAACTGCAGATACATGCATTGATTTGATATGAGTTGAAGCATCTTGCTGACCATGTGTGGCAGAATGGACGTAATGTTTCTCTGCTGAAAGTTGAACTGAAAGGTGCTCCAGTTCTTTATAGGTTCCTCCCACTCTGTAGCAGGAACCTTTTTTCTCACAACTGTAAGATCGAAGAATCTTCATTAATCTTCCAGGGTCTGTGTAATCAGCCTCATCAACGATGCCGATGATGTCTGTGATAAACTGCAAAAATACAAGACACCTAAGGTTAGCTATTTAGACAGTCTCTGGCTGTGATATATTAGGACATTATAATATGACTCAAACACTAAAATAATCAGAATAGTAAAAAATCTCTATTCAGTGGACTGTCTCCTAAAAGCCCATTAATTGGTGCAGTTTCATCTCCCTGCAGTCAGCCTTGGTGAAGCCTGAGGTCTTTATAGCTCAACGTGGCGAAGACGAAGGAGATGGTGGTGGATTTCAGGAGGAACAAGCCCCTGCCCTCTCCTGTCTGCATCGGTGGGATGGATGTGGAGGTGGTACCTGCATACAAGTACCTGGGTATCACACTGGACAATAAGTGGACTGGTCCACCAACACAGAGGCCGTCTACAAGAAGGGCCTGAGCCGGCTTTACTTCCTGAGGAGGCTCGGGTCCTTCAATGTCTGCAACAAGATGCTGCAGATGTTCTATCAGTCTGTTGTGGCGAGCACCATCTTCTTTGCTGTGGTGTTCTGGGGTGCGGGCATCAAGACAAAGGACGCCAACAGACTGAACAAAATCATAAGGAAAGCAGAGTCTGTGGTTGGCTCTAAGCTTGTCACCMTGGAGGAGGTGGTGGAGAACAGGATGCTGGCAAAACTGCTGGCAATCATGGACCATCCCTCTCACCCCCTCCACAAAACACTGGACAAGCTAAAGAGCAGCTTCAGCCACAGGCTCATCCAACCCCGCTGCTCTAAGGAGCGATACAGGAAATCATTCATTCCAACCGCAATAAGACT